CAGCCTCCAGCTGGACCCTCTGAGGTGGAAGAGCGGCTGCAGGGAGAAGTTGAACAACTGCAGAAGGAACTGGAGAATCTGACAGGACAGCTGAGGGCCCAGGTGCAGGACAATGAGAGCCTGAGCCACCTGAACCGAGAGCAGGAGGAGCGGCTGCTGGAGCTGGAGCGGGCGGCAGAACGCTGGAGTGAGCAGACGGAGGAGCGCAAGCAGATCCTGGAGAGCATGCAGAGTGACCGCACCACCATCAGCAGAGCACTGTCACAGAACCGCGAGCTAAAGGAGCAGTTGGCTGAGCTGCAGAACGGCTTCGTCAGGCTGGTGCGGAGCCTGCAGGCCCTCCTTACTCAAGGGATGGGGTGCTGTCCACCTCACATGAAATGGTGGTGGTGAAGGCACCCAGCAAGCCAGAGCTCTGGGGTGTGTGGGAATGATCCAGGAGCCTTCCTTGCTGTGTGGGAGGAGGTGCATATGCAGGTCTGGGTACCCCAGCCACTTTAGATCCTACTGACTGCTGCTTTCTGTCCAGACCAACGAGAACATGGAGATTACCAGTGCACTGCAGTCAGAGCAGCATGTCAAGAAAGAGCTGGCCAAGAAACTGGGAGAGCTGCAGGAGAGGCTGGGAGAGCTGAAGGAGACAGTAAGGCCTACTGCATGGGTGCCAGCTACTGGATTTGGGGAGGGGAGATGTAAGGCTCATCACAGATCAGCTGCAGTCTGGGGACAGGCTTGAAGTCAGCCTATGACTGTTTTATTAGAGATGGGTAGCCCTGGACTGCTCTTCATCTGGGCCAAGGCCAGAAGCTGAGTCTTTATAGTTAGAGGTTATACAAGGCTCTCGGTTCAGGCTGGATTCACATCCATTTGTTCAGATGCTTCCTATCACAAAACCTGATTACTGAACTTAAAAGATGAATTTCCTCATAGAAGTGTTGAATGTCAAATGAGAATGTGGGCATAGACTATTGGACACTAGTGTTTTGTGCAGAACACTATAGGCTGGTTCCATCAGCTTTTTCATACTTGGGTCCTAAAGAGGTGAGAAAGGTGACTGGGTGTGAGACTGGGTGCAAAGGCATGGCACGGGCCCAGCATGTGGAAGCCAGCCACTGCCTGCCCTCAGGCCTAGCCTTCCTGCAGGTGGAGCTGAAGAGCCAAGAAGCACAGAGTCTGGAGGAGCAGCGAAACCAGTGCCTGTCCCATCTGCAGCAATATGCTGCTGCCTACCAACAGCACTTGGCTGCCTATGAGCAGCTGACCTCTGAGAAGGAGGCACTGCACAAGCAGCTTCTGCTGCAGACACAGCTCATGGACCAGTTGCAGCATGAGGAGGTACAGAGCAAGATGGCAGCTGAAATGGCCCACCAGGAGTTGCAAAAGACCCAGGTGAGGCAGTTGCTGAGGCTGGGCCCCACTGGGAGGACCTGGCCACCTCTGTACCTACTCACTCTTTCCTAACCCCTTAGGAGCGCCTGGAAGCCACCAGCCAGGAGAACCAGCAGCTCCAGGCCCAGCTGAGCCTCTTGGCTCTCCCTGGGGAAGGTAAGACCACACAGGAGAGGGAAGACTCTGACTGACTCATAACAAAATGGAGTTGATGTCTTTGGAGAAGCTTTGAGAATGCTTGGCATTCTCTAGTCAATGGCTGGGGTATAGAGGTGGGGTCCCTTAGCCCACTCTGCCTACCTGTTGGGACTGTTAGAGCAAACAACCTACTGTCTGCCCCCAGGAGATGCAGAGCAGGAGGAGGAGGCTCCTCGGCCTAGTGTGACCATCCCAGAACACCTAGACAGTAAAGAGGCCATGGTGAGCTGGATTCTGCCTTGCCCCTTCTCTTCCCTGCCTCTGTGGTCCCTTGATTTCTTGCCCTCTCGTTTCTTACCACATTGTGCCTGGGAGCCAGTGGTCACTCTTCCATCTGGGAATAGGTGCTCTCTCTACCTCCCTGCCCCCTTTATCATGAACATCTCCCTAAGAAGCACACATCCTTCTTGTGTGCAGGTGGCTTTCTTTAACACAGCTATAGCCAGTGCAGAGGAAGAACAGGCCCGCCTGCGCCTGCAGTTAAAAGAGCAGAAGGCACGTTGCCGAAGCTTGGCTCACCTGGCCACCCCAGTCCAAAGCAAGATGGAAAAGGAGGCACTGGTCCCCAGGAATGTGAGTGACTCTGTGTCTGAAGAGAGCAACCAGGCCCTGCATGTAGCCATGGAGAAGCTACAGGTGAGTATGTATTTGGGGCTCAGAGGGTGTGGGGCCAGCCAGGGCTCCTGAGTCTCTGAGACCTCTGCCTTGGCTCCAGAGCCGCTTCTTGAAGGTCATGCAGGAGAAAGTGGAGCTCAAGGAGAGGGTAGAGGAACTCGAACACTGCTGTATCCAGCTCTCGGGAGAGACAGACACCATTGGTGAGGCAGAGCTCAACCTAAGGCAGTTGGGTTACACGGGGGCAGATTCGGGGAGCCTCGATGTCTGAGCCTTGTCCACCTACCTCCCATACCCACAGGAGAGTACATTGCCCTCTACCAAAACCAGAGGGCAGTGCTGAAGGCTAGGCACTTGGAGAAGGAGGAGTACATCAGCAGGCTAGCCCAGGACAAGGAGGAGATGAAGGTAAGCCTCACACTTCTGTGTCTCTGCCCAGCTAGGCTAGGCTAGGCTACTCAATTTGATTGCCCTCAATTTGATTTACCCTCCAGGTAAAGCTGCTAGAGCTGCAGGAACTGGTGTTGAGGCTTGTGAATGAGCGCAATGAATGGCAGGGCAAATTCCTGGCAGTCTCTCAGAACCCTGTTGATGTGCCCACCCCAGTGCCTACAGGCTCCCAGGGATTTGGAGATGCTGATGAGCAGGGTGGTGAGTAGAGCCCTTGGCTTGGGCAGGCACAAAGGGGAGGACTCCCATGGCATGCAGAGCCCTGATATTCCCCTCCCCTTTCTCTAAAGACCTTAGGGAGGTAAGCCTGGCTGACAGTACAGAGCCTACACAAGGAGCGGCTGGGGCCCCTGCTCCCCCTGAGAATCCCACTGCACAGCAGATCATGCAACTACTGCGTGAGATCCAGAACCCCCAGGAGCGTCCAGGCCTGGGCAGCAACCCTTGCATCCCCTTTTTCTACCGTGCTGATGAGAATGACGAAGTGAAAATTATGGTTGTCTAAAAGACTGGCACTCAAAGCCCCACCAAGGGCAGCCAAAGGTTCTGCCCCAACCCACCCCCCCTCCTCAGTCACCCTTACCCTTATAATAATAAGGTCAGACTCCACACACCCCCAAGGGGCTGAGGAAGTAGCTCAGTTGGTAGAGTGCTTGTTTGCCACACACACAGCTCTGGGTCCCACCCACAGCACCTCTGAACTGGGGACTCTTAGAATTCAAGCACTTGGGAAGAGGAGGCAGGAGAATCAGCCACCCTCATCTACCCTGTAGGTTCAAGGACACACTGAGCTACACTGAGACCCTGTCTTGGGAGGGGGGGATCAGACTCCCTATATTAATGTGGTATACAAACAGGGTCAGGCTCTGTGCCCTCTTGGGCCGGGTGATTTTACTTTCTAAACTCAAAAGATTGAGCAGACTAGACTGCCTCTCCGGTTAGTAGCCTGGTGGCTTCCTGACCAAGTTGTCTTTAGTTGGAGGACCTGAGTCCTTACTCAAGACCCTGGGGCAGAACAATTTGGCAGCATTTTCATGTCCAGGTGCAGCACAGGCTGGTAGATGCAGTCAGCAAGAGGGCCCCTTTTTCTTACCATCTTTTATCCCCTTCCCCTTCTTTATTTTCTTTAGCTAGTGGCTCATATATCCCAGGCTAACCCTGCACTCACTACACACTTACCTTGTGACTCTCCTGCCTCAGCACTGTACCTGGTGTTTCGCAGTGCTGAGTAGGCACTCTACCAATTGATTTACACCCCAGCACTACCTACCTTTTTCTTTCATGTGGGAACACTGGGGATGGAAGCCAGGGCCCAGCACATCCCCAGACCAACTCCCATCTTCTTAGAGGCACTTTAGGGAGTAGGAATGGGCAGCATCTCCATGGGTCCCCAGGCAGTTGGGGTAACTGCCTCTGGAAAGAATCCCACTTAGGCGGGCTTCCATCTTTTTAGAGGCACTTTGGGACAGGGAAAGTGGGTACTATTCTCTCAGGCCTTATGACAATTGGAGTAACTGTACGCCAAGCAGGATAGAGGCTCCTGGGGGGGGCTTCCCCTCCCCTGGTGTACATATTGTACCTGTGTACCATTTTGTATATTCTGGGGTAGGGACACCCTCTGTATCATAGTGGAGGTTGGAGCTAGCAAGTGGGGAGGAGATTCTAATAATCACTTGGGGCTGGGAAACTTATTTATTGGTAGTGTCAGACAGAGGACAGGAGGCGGAGATGGAGTTGTAGCACCCTGCTCATGCAGCTCCTCTTTATTTTGCTTTTTACTTGGGAAATAAATGGATTTAGCCATACTTCTGGGCCTAGGGTGTCCTGTCACTGGATTCTGGGGTTAGCCTCAGGTTGGCACTGAGCAGGGAATATGTCTTGCCAGCAGAGAGCAGACCTGTGTGGAGCCCGAGGTCTGAAGTGTCTAGCAGGGCTGATTGGCACCCATCATTGTTACTGCTTACTGAAGCTGAGGGATCCCAGGGGGAGTTCCAGGGGGCACATAGTCAAGTCTGACCTATATATAGGTGGAACACCTATAGATAGGGTACAGCACCTAAGGTTGTTAACTTCCAGGCCAGGCCTTTTCCATTCTGTCCCGCTTTCCCTAGCCTGTCCAGACATTGGGCCTGTTTTGTTCTTTAGGCTACAGGCCCCTTCAGCTCACAGCCTCCTGACTGAGTTCATGGTCCTGCTGCCTAATGGTAGAAGCAGTTCATAAGATGAGGCCCTGCTAAATTCACCTTACAGCACCTTAGCAAAGGGCTCTTCCTCAGCCTGTGTTCAATGCCCAGTGTTTACATCTTCCCCTCTCCCCAGCGAATACAAACCAGCAGAGGGAGACACAATTCCCCATCATCCAGAAATGGGTTTTATTCTCAGCCAAGAGACAGCAAGGCTGGTGGCTGTGAGAACCGTACAGCTGCCAGTGCAGCATCCCCATGCTGCAGGGTGGGGATAGCCCAGGGGATGGCTGTCCACAGGCCAAGAGGACAGGGAAGCTCACTGGAGGTGGCACATTGGAGGAGGGGTTGTCAGGGTGACAGCATTTACTTGTAGTTGGACCACAAGACTCCACAAGGACAGCATGAAGGTTGATTCTGATACTTCAGGCTAGGCTGTGTCAGCCATATATATATGTATATATATATAAGTATATTTATAGATATTTATAGAATGTCGCAGGAGCAATACCACAGAGGGGCACAAGTTTTCACCAACATCACATCTGGATGTGTTAGCTCACCACTACAACAGACTAAGTCACAGATGAAGGGGACACGCTTTGGGGCTTTGGGGGAGCCATTGTCAAGTCACAGAACAGCTGTCCAGGCAGGCTTGGTAAGGGAGGTCTCCGAGGAGTAGGAGGGATCTGGTTAGAGGTCGAAGGGGGGTCTGGGGCTCTCAGGACGGGACGGACTTGCCTGACCCGATCGGCTGGCAGTTGGAGAGAAAGCCAAAGAGAGAACCGGAGAGAGAAAAGGAAGGAGAGCTGGTAAGGCAAGAGCAGCCACCCCCAGCAGGGGCAGAGGGGATGAGGCAGGTGTGGATGTGGGCAAGGTTCCCGGAAAAGAGGCAGACAGTTGATGAATGAAAAAGGGAAGATGGGAGGGGCTGGGCCCTATCTAGCAGGTAGTCTGGGTGGAGGCTGGGTGGCCCTCTCTTGCCACACACACAGGCCTCTCACACACCACCCAGGCAATGTGCCCACAGGGCCTCCCCCTTCTCTGGTCACTCTCCCATCACACTGGCCCAGGGCCACCCCAAGCCTCAGGGAGTCCCATGTAACAGCCATGAGGCCAGAAGTGCTTGACCAGGAGAGCAAAGCTAAAGGGGATGACTGGAGGGAGCACTGGAGGCCCCTCGGGTGGTCAGAAAGCCCAGGAGTCCACTGAGGGGACTCTGGGGAGGCTGGGAGGCAGTGCCTGTGGACACAGACTTATAAGTCTAAGAGGGGAGCCTCCGCTGGTCGGGGGGCTGCAGGTCTCGTAGGTGAGGCTGGGCCCTTCCTGCTGGGGAAAAGCAGAAGGGTGAGTGTCAATGGCTGCAGAAGAATGGGGACGGATCACAGAGAGATCCTGTGGCCAGCCAGGCAGAACTCAAGCTGACTTGTCTAGTCATTAAACACTGCAGTGTCATTAGCTAAAAGGCACAGGTCACTTCCAGAAGAGGCCAGGTGTAAGAGCTAGTGGGCAGACTCTATATCTGGGGCTGAGGACATGACCATTAATTGCAGATGTGCAGTATCGAGGAGGAAGGGAAAAGGGGGCTACCTGCCCTTGCCTTGCCTGTGAGCTGTTATGGGCTAACAGAACTGCAAAGGTTTTCAAAGTGTTCTGAAATCATCAACCAATCAGAGCCCTGGCTCAGCTAATGTTTGATTATCATGCTTGCTCTGTGATGGATTTATATTATATGCCCATGCTCCCAAGTTGGGAGCTGGAATCTATCTTGGCAGCACAATTTAGACTAGGTATGAAGATTAAGTCCTCTAGCCCCTTCAGAAGCCAGCCACTCACATCCTGTCTAAGCCTTCAGTCCCTACACTGTCAACAATGAGTCTGTGTCTCTGACAGCTCCAGGGAACATCTACATCTACCAATATGGGCACGGAACCTGTCCCAAGAGCCCTCATTTAGTCAAGAAGGCCTTGAGTAGTGGCGCTGAGTCCCGGGGCTCACTGGGAAGAGAAAGAGCCAGCTGGCAGAGGACAGGAAGAGGGAGTCTAGAGCTGCAGAAGGAGGAGGGGCCTGGCTCAGAGGTCCCAAGGTTGTCCTCAGCATGGAGCTGGTGCATCGAGGAGGGAGGGGGGCAGACACACTTCATGCAGCAGGCTGAGAGCATAACCTACCGTAGCTGATACTCCTCAGGGGTCACTGATAGTGATTCTGAAAGACAGCACGAAATCAACAAGGCAGTTCACAAACACACAGGTGGGCCAGGCGTGGGGTTAGGGGACACACGCACGCACACGCCTGGGCGTGCACACACATGCTGTGAGGCCTCACGGCCCTTGCATGCACACACTAACACACATGCCCACAAACACGCATACATCTCCCCTCCCACCTCCCAGTGCCCAGCACAATTGCCGGCCAATACGTGCAGCACGGATCTGGGACATGCAGCCACTCAGCATACTGAAGCACACGCATGAGCTGTCACAATACAGAAGCTCGCCTGCACACAGAAGGCCTTTGCACCAGCTCCCTGCACACTCAGGCCTGGTGTGCTGACAGGGTTACCACACTGCTCCACAAGGGATAAGGGCTTGCACTCTAGGACCCAGTTGTCATTTCTCTGTCCAATAACTTTCCATGGTTTTGTACAGTGTTAAGTCTCCACAAATTATATCCATCCTGCCCCACCCTACAGCCAGCCACATTTACCGTCAATATAGCAGCCCATTGTCTCTGTCTGGTACTACCCTGGAAAAGTGGCAATAGTATTGACTTAGGAGAAGGGAAACTGAAGCCCTAGGAGGGAAGATGACTTGCTGAAGGGAAGTGGACCAGCATCTCTGGACATGCCGCCTGCCTTTACCCTACTGTTTCATCATTAGAGCTCCATAGAGCAGGCCTATCCATGCCTCATTTGGTGTGTGTGGATTAGACCCCCCAGTTCTGCCCTTTAACCATCTAGATTCCCAAACAGATGCTATTGGTCTGTCTGATAATGTGTCTTCCTCAAAGCTCATGGTCAGTGGAAATTGGGCAGGCCGAGTCAGCTATTAGAGCGAACTTCCTGGAAAGCCAGTCATGGATCAAGAGGGCAAAGTCAAGGGATGAAGTGTTTTTCTTTTCCCTAGCGATCTCTGGCAGTAGGGGAGTCTAGTTCCTAACCCTGCCCCACACCCACCATCTGGTTCCAGACCACCGGATTGTCCACGATTCCCAGATCCCTTCCCCAGCTGTGTCCTATCCTACTCCATGCCTGGGTGCCACTCACATTCACACCCGTGTGCACGCCCACACACACCACACACCTTGCTGGTCATACAATCACAGCCTGGACTGATCATGTGGGTCAGAGGCTGGATACCACCCTGGGACAGCTTAAAAGGGCTGGAAAGTGGGAGCATTAAGGCAGTTCTGAATGTTAACTGAAGAAATCCCCACGGCTCAAACGGAAGATCTGGGATCAGAGCCCAAGAGGTGAGGTGGGCTCACCAGGAGCTGGGCGGGTGAGTGGAGGATGGAATGGAGGAGAATGGAGGGCAAGGGTTAGAAATGCAAAGTGTGGGAAGGATGGAGAGAAAATGAAAAAAGAAGGAAGCGCCATGCAACTGCTGAAAAGGAGGGGGCAGGTGGTATAGTCCCAGAGCCCCCTCCTCAGAAACCACCTCCGGGACTCAGCGCCCCCTGCAGGGCAGGGCCGTCAGCCCGTGGCGGCAGGTCCCTTGGCCCTGCACCACCAACCCCAGCGTCAGGGATGGAGAGGGTCGCTTCCACGGCTAGGCCAAGGATCAAGAATCCGACTCCACCTCCCTCCCAGTTACGACCGCTTGGAGGCCTTTCCCGCCGCTTTCAGCCCCTACTCACCTGGGAACCCCAGGTGGGGCACGGTTGGGGCGCGAGGGCACCTGGGGAGGGGGGCCGAAGGGATCAGGGGAAGCCCCCGGCCTGGAGGGCACGGGGGGCGCCCCCCCCAGGGCGGATCCAGCAGGCGGAGGCCCAGGAGCAGGGCCCCGCGACCCGGGCCGGGCTGGGGGAACGGCGGGGGCTCGGCGCTGCGGCGTGGGGCTGGACGTGGGAGATCTACGGCCGGGCGACAAGGGCAGAAGAAGCGAGGAGCAGAGATGAGCCGCTCGGTCCCTAACCAGGACCCCGCCCCCAGCCCAGGCTGTCCCCGCCCATGCAGCAAGCCCCGCCCACCGCGGCCGCGGACAGCATCCGAGCCGAAGCCTTGTCCCCCAGCGGCGCCACCCGTCCTGCAGCCAGTGCTCACGGCAAGCCCCGCCCCGCGACAAGCCCCTCCCTTTTCTAAGCTCCGCCCCTCGCTCCAGGTGGGAGCCCCCGAGACCCGGGCGCGCCACTGCCCGGTCCCGGCCCTCCTCCCGCGGGCCCCGGGCTGGGGGGCTTTGGGGCCGTGGGGGCCAGCCCTGGTACCTGCGTCCGGCCGGTACGCTCTGCACCTGCAGCCAGGAGTCGTCCACGGGCGGGGGCATAGGCGTGCTGACGGTGGTCGTGTTGATGTCGCCGATAATGCTGAGCGCTTCCTTCAGTGCGTGGTACATGCGCAGCATCTCATCGCGCCGCTGAGCCTGTTCGGCCGATTCCTCCATCAGTGTGTTCTGGTCCCCGCAAGAGTACAAGTTGGCCAGCAGCTCGGAGAAGATAAACTCCTTGGTCTGTGAGCGAGCAGAGAAGGAAGGAACCGATGAACATGCCACCCTGTCCCTGGCCAGACCTGCTGGGACTAGGTGTAGAACTGGGAGCTGGGGTTTGGCATTTCAGATGCCTACTTCTACCTGGTGTCTAAACTCGTAGGCCTCTTCAGACACCATCTAATGTCCTTTTCTCAGATGGGAACACTTAGCCAGAGAGGGAAGCCACCTGCCCTCGGTCTGGAATCTGGGATGAGACTCAGAACCTAGCATGCCACTAGGACAACTGCCTAAGTTTATGAGCCTTTCTCAGGACCAAAATAAGCAAGAAGATAGTTTAAGATGTCCTGAGTCCCTAGGAAAGAAAGCAATAAATATATAATTATAATGTGTCCTTGGATTGAGTGAAAGGTGTCAGTGTGTGTGTAGTGAAGGTTTAATTCCCATTTTAAATTCCCAGGGAGTGCTGGGCAGTGGCGGTGCACACCTTTAATCCCAGCACTTGAGAGACAGAGGCAGGTGGATCTCTGTGAGTTCAAGGCCAGTCTGGTGTACAAAGTGAGTACCAGGACAGCCAGGGCTATGTAGAGAAACCCTGTCTCAAAAAAACCAAACAAACAAAAAAATTACCCCAATGTGCGGCAGTATTGTGACTTGTTGACACCGTTGTATCCTATTCCAGTTTCACTGACTCCTTATCCAAAAATCTACTGAACACCTTCCATGTGCCAGGCTCTGTACTGCTCCATACTTCATGAGCAATGCTGTCCTCAGCTCTATTATTATCATCAATGGTTTACACATTAGGAAACAGAGTCAGAGATGGAAGAGCATCACAACCCACTTCTGCTGTCCTGGGCCCTGCTTGTTCACTAGGCCACAGTCTGTGGTGGCTCTGTGAGCTATGTTTCATCTCAGAAAGTGGATACTCCTGGCTGCTCCTGAAGAGCATGCATGTTTGGGTCAACCTAGGTATGCATATCTATTTTTCAACTGCAAGTTCCCTGAAATTCAAGTTAAGATGACATTTCCACTGGATATGTAACATCTGGAGTGGGTTTACAAAAGCTTAATGGGAAAATAGTATGCAACATACGTTAACTAATATTTTTTAGATTGGAGCCAGTTATTGTGGGACATGCCTGTCACCTCAGCACTCAGGAGATGGAAAGAGCCAGGTGAAAGTCATCCACAAGTTTGAAGTCAGCCTGAATATCATGAGCTTAAAGTAAATACTATTAAAATTAAGGATTTTGGCACCAGGTATAGCGGTCCAAGCCTTTAATCCCAGCACTTGGGAGGCAAAGGCAGGCAGATCTTTGTGAGTTTAAGGCCAGTCAGAGCTACATAGTGAGTGCCTGTCTTGAAAATAAGTAAATAAATAATTAAGGGTTTGGGGATTATGGGATAGTTTGGTGGATAAAGGTGCTTGCTGCAAAGCCTGATAACCTGAGTTCAACCCTCAAGACCCTCATGTAGGAGAGAACCAAGTCCCTCAAATTGTCCCATGACCAACACAAAAACAAATGACATGTGTTCCCCTGCCCTGTGCATTTATATAAATAATACAATAAGCAAAGATAAGCCAGCTGACTGCTTGGTCCCACACAGCCACCCTGCACCGCCCCCTGCTATGAACATACATTGTTGATCATGAGGTGCATGATGGTCTTAGGCATGAGATCCCGCACGGTCTTGTTGACAATGGCCATGTACGAGTCTACCAGGTTCCGAATGGTCTCCACCTGCCTCTCCAGCTGAGGGTCCATGGAGTGCATGAAGCTGTCAGAGCCATTCTCCTCGGTCTCACTGGCCTGCCATTGGGAACACAGGGTATCAGAACGGCAGGGCCTTGTGCAATCAGACTCCTGGTATCACTAAGAACTCAGCCCTTGCGAGAGTGCTGCCACACAGAGGCACTGAGGGCGACTGGGACTCTAGGCTCACCACTGTGCCTCTCAGAACCCCAGATTCTCCACCTTCAGCTTTGACTCTGACCCTAGTGGCTAGAATTTGTCCCCACTTCTCAATCCATACATTGGAAAAGGTCATCTCCAAGTTGCAGGGGGTGGGCACACTTACTTTCTCTTTGTCCTGGAGGCCCACATCAGAGCAACAGAAGCCATAGCAGCATTGCAGCCGCCACCACCACCAGGGACCACATTTGAAGTAGACAAAGAGAAAAAGGGAGGGATTGTGTGAGCCTTCTGCAGTGTACCCAAACCTGCTGCAGTAACAGAGGGAGATGTGACAAGGCCACCAGTGGATGAAAGTTCAGGAGATGCTCTCTGGTATCCCTTGGAGGAAAATGGGGAAACCAGAGGGCTTTGTTCCAAACCCATGCGGGTAGCTTTCTCTTTACATCAAATAAGAACTTCTCAAAGCCGGTGCCCTGGAACCCACAGGGACAAGCAGCTGGCCCCTTCCCTCCCCTAGCTCCACCACTCACCCCAACACGCTCAGGGTACACGCCAGCCCTCAGGAAGGAAGCCTTCCAGCTGTCAACCTCCTCCTGTGTCTCACAGGCCAGTTCCAGCTGCCGATAATCCTTGTAGACATTCCTGCAGGATGGGGTAGGCGGGAGGGAAGATGAAGAAAAGCCCCACCCTGCTCAGGGGACCAGGGCATGTGTGGGCTTTAGGGGCGTATCCATCCCCGGCTTTCTTGTTGGCCTTAGGCAAGGTCCCCCTGTCTTCAAGCCTCAGGGTTCTCATTTTGTAGGTAGGCTAGTAATGATTCCTGTCTGCTGTGGTCATTGGGATGCTTCAAGGGGAAACGTAGCCCAGTGTGTAGAAGGGACTGAAGTTAGGCATGGTGGTACACTCTAAAGCCCTTACTTGAGGGGTTGGGGATTTAGCTCAGTGGTAGAGCACTTGTCTGGCAAGCATAAGGCCCTGAGTATGGTCCTCAGCTGGGGGACAGGGAGGGGCTGTGGGTGGCAGTGGGGAACAAAGCCTGTACTCAGAGACTGAGGCAGGACAATCTTCAGTTTGAGGTCAGCCTGGACTACTTAAAGAGACTGAGACCCTGTCTCAAAACAAAAGGAAGGCTGCAAAGTCAGGCAGTGCAGCCATGGCTTGATTTCAGGCCCCTTCAGCACCCTCCCTGGCTTCCAGATGGCATCTGTTTGGGATTCCTATCTCTGAGTAGGAAAGAGCCCATATCAGAGCCAGCCTGGAACTAGGGAAGTGAGGTCTAGTCCTGAGTCCATCTGAGAGACTGGGCCTTTAGACTTTTTGTTTCTAGCTCCTGGCAGTATTCTGTGCCAAGCAGACACTAGGTAAATGGCTGTGGAAAAAAAGGAGGGAGGGAACAAGGAAGGGAAGGGGAGAGGGAAAGGGGGAAGGGGGAGGAGGGTGCCTAAACATGGACCAAGCACTTAGGAGAAATCAGTAACTGTCTGAGGACAGGCCCCATTTTCTACACAGCAGGATAGCTTGGGGTTTGTAGGGCCTGGGGTCTCAGCAGCTCAGCCAGGGGCAAGCAGGCACCTCTGCTCTGTGTTGAAGAGGGCAAAAATATGCTTGCTTGACATGAAGCCCTTCTCCACATCACGAAGCTTCAGATTGTCCACAGACAGCATGTACTTCTTCTCTTTCTCCTGTAGGGAGGGGTAGGACCGAGGGGTCAGTCTGGCACTGCTGTGCCCCATCCCTTAGAGTGCTCCACGTGGGTGGGCATCTGGGATTGTCAACATTCAAAGTAGTCTGCTCCAGTCCTTGCCACCACATGTGGTACTATACAGTAAATCCACGGAGCCCTAACCCCGCCTGGGCACCCCACCCACCCCGTGGCTTTTCAAGCCAACCCTACCAGATAAGATGTATATATATATATCATATATCACATATCATAGCTTAAGGGGCTGGCGAAGGCATTGAGACTAAGAGGGTCTCCCTCATCCCACCCTAAGCGAGTTCTAGAGACAGGCCAGGCTGGGATGGCTCATATGAGGCACCCTCGCCTCCAGCCTGGCTGCCTCTGACTTCATTTCCTGACTACAGAGACGGGACGGGAGACTATACCAGCCCTGGAGGCTTCAAAGGGCTGGCTCAGCCCACTCCCCCTCTCAGCCATCCATGTGTTACCAATCAGACCCACAGCACAAGCCTGGAAACTGTATGTCTGTGAGCCCATGTGTATGGCTGTGTGGTTGTTGCAAGGCCCAGCAAGTTCACCATTGTGCACACCTGCGTCCATAGGACATAGGTGCATGTATGCATTGGACCATGTGCTAATATGACCATGTTTGTTGACATGGTTGTGTGGCAATTGTGAATGGAACGTAAGACTATGGAGCCATGGTCTTACCCATGGTTTGTGCAGTGGCCTAGACACATTGGTGTGTTGTTTTGTGGAAGAAGTTATATAAATCTGTGGACAGAAGCAGCTGTGTCTGTAGGCTCTGTGTCCCAGGGGAAGGGTTCAGGGATCCTGGGAAGAGACACCTCAGATGGGGCACCAGGAAGGAGGAGAAGCTTCTGCTGCCTGGATCTCACTGGACCTCCCACCCAATACCACTGGGCCTGTGCTGGAGGGATGGTCTGTGTGGGACTCCATAAGCTTTGACTAGGATCTCAGGTGGGGGCTGGGTTTAGGAGGACCTTTCTTTCCCACCCTGGCGTCATCTCCACCCCTCTGCCCCACACACCCGCCTAGCCTATGCAGCCACATAAAGCCCTCTTTATGCCAGGCGGGTGGCCGGGAGCCCCAGAGGGCGGCTGGGGGAGGAGAGGAGGAAGTTGCACACGCGGCCAGGGAACATCTGGAACCCATCTAGGGAGGCCCGCCACAGCCGCCTTGTGCTCAGGGTTGGACACTAGGTAGGAGTGGCCTCCTCCCCCAGCCCTCCCTTCCTGCCGGCCCCCTCCCCAGGCCCCTCCTTCCAGCCCAGCTCCCGCTCACCCCTGCCACGTCAAAGGAGGCAGAAGGGGAGTCGGGAGCAGAGAGGGACCACGGCTGGCCGGCTGGGGCTGGGGGGACATTGGAGCTGGGGCTGGGGGCATCGTATCTCTAGGGGATGGGACCAAAACTCCCACCGGATGGACAGATGCTGCTGCCTGGATGGACCAGAGGATACCTCCACTCCGTCTACCCAGTGTTTAGACTACCTGTTCAGGACTCCCAAATTGTACAGTAGTCTGCACATTGGTTAGGCTGGGCTGGGTTAGACCCTCGGCACCGTCGCTGGAGAGCTGCACCAACCCTGCTGTCTTCCAGAACCAGAGCCTGGACTTGGGACAGGGAGCTATGGGGCACAGGGTGGACTGGGAGGAGCGCAGAGCTATGGGACTGCCGTCCTGCTACGGGACAGATGGGAGGTCGTGGTGATGGGGGAGGGCAGCGGAGAAAGACGGAGAAGATGGAGGGGGGGTCGTCGGAGCTGGTGATGTGGGTGACTGCCTGTCTGACAAGATGCTTCCCCAACCCAAAGACCAGAGGACATGCGTCTGGGTAGAGGGGACCAAACCTCTGCCCATGCCCAAACTCCAGCTATCCTAGTGCAAAAATGCACTCATCCCGACAATGCACTTTAGCACTCTTGCTTCGAGGCATACATCTGTGCACCCCAGCTTTAAAGTGCACATCCATGCCCGGATACACTCAAGTGCATGCACTCACACTCAGACACACAGCCTCACAATGGGAAGCTCCCTTCCCCCAGCCTCACTTCCCAGACACATACACATATTCTCAAATATCCCCCCTTCACACTCTCTCTCCCACCCTACCCCACACACACATGGACACACAAGCACAGACAATGAAGTCACAAGCAAATTCACACCTAGGTGTTTATACCCCTAACACACTCACAACACCCCCCACAATACCCACAAGATACACACACACACACACACACACACACACACACACACACTACTCAGGCAGATTTCTCATACAACTAAACTCAAATCTATACACAAAACTCAAAAAAAAAAAAAAATCACCCTGGGTATATAGAAGCCCCTTTCAGTTGGGCTCACCCGGGTAGCCAGATATGGGGTCACCATCCCCCTAACTCTGTATAAAGGGTCTTAGATATGGGAACATGAGACCCATGGGGAATATCTAGGGGGCCTGCCAGGGTGACAGGGTAGGAAGCCACCTCCCGGCCCCACACTACCTCGTACTCCATCCCTTCCAGGGGCCCCTGGGCTGGGGAGAGGCCAGGGTTGTGGTAATGAGGTCCAGATGGTTTGGCGCCCCCGCCAGTAATGACAGAGGACCCCGCCCAAGGTGGGGAGGTGGGGCCCATCCTAAGGCAGGCTTGGAGGGTAACAGTGATCAAGAAGGGAGAGTGGTGGCCTAAATCACAGGCCACCACTCTAAAATGCTAATGCCCCACTGAGAGAAGCCTGTCTTATGGCGGGCCCCTCAGAAGGAAGAGGGTCCCTTCCCCCCACTCCTCAGCCAGCTGGAGTTCATTACCAAAACACCCCCTGTCACCGCCCCCATTCTCAATGGTCACCTCTGGAATCCAGATGTGAAAGCCAAATAGACTCATTCTTAAAGGAGACCAGAAACTGGAGGGGAGTGGTGGGGGCCTCCGGGTGCCCTTGGAAGCAGGAGGCTATTCTGCGGGGTAGCTCTGCAGGCCATCATTGCTACTGGCCCCTTTGCCCTGGAGGTGTCCTAAGCAGCTTGCTTTGGTTGGCAGAAGCTGAGGGTACTTGAATGCAGGGGTTAACTGAGTGCCTGGCAGCTGGACATGTATGTGTCATGGTCCTGTAGGGGCCACAGAGGAGACGGCACGCCCCAGAGTGAGAAAACAAGAAGGCCACTGGGCTGCTGTGTCAGGCAGCAGCACCCAGCACCCTCTCCAGGGCCATCCACGCCTGTCACCGTCTCCTGTCTCCTTCCAGCCTGGGTGAGAGGGTACTTCCCTGGCTGAACATACTACCCCGCCCTCTCATACAAATCTTTTCAGGCACCTGGGGTGTGGTCTAGCCCACTGCCAGCTCTGAGCCTGGCCCTTGACAACCAATGGCCTTTGACTCACCTCATCATCCTTGTACCAGGACAGGTTCTCTGCAGTCAGCACAAACCAGTACTCCTTGGAGCCTCCTTTCATGATACCGATGTTGTTGATGGTCAGCCACCCCTTTCGAATAACCTGGAGCAGGGGGTTGGGCAGGAGGTCAGTGGGCAGGGGTCAGGCTTCCCCAAGGAGGATGGGACTAGTGAGGAGGCATTCAAAAGCCTCCTCCTCAATTCTCTGAGGCCTGACTGGTCAGAGAGGGTGGGGGCCAGACCTGCCCTGGCTTGAACCACAAGTGGATAGAGGAGAAGACAGGAAAGCAAGGGTCAGCTAGAGCTAGAGAGGAGCCTCCTAACAGCCCGGGATGTATGTGTGAGCCAAGGCTGGCCCGCTTGGATAGAGGGTAAGCTCCCCATTGCTAAGAGTGTGCAAGCAGAGTTTGCCATCTATTTGGGTAAGGCAACTCCAAGTGTCATTTGAGGGTCTACTCCGACATAGTTTCTGACCTTGAGAACACTGTGCTCCCTGCACTTGCTTCCCCTCCCTTTTTTTGGCTGACATATACCTACTGGCCCTTTGGTATCAGCTCAGATTTACATGGTGAGTGGCCCTCCCTGCCCCCAACATCAATCATGAGCACAGTAATGACCTCTGATCAGTCTCCTGTTTGCTTCTGTAACAGGAACTGCAATGTTAATCTCTCTCTCTCTCTCTCTCTCTCTCCCCTTCCTCCTTTCCCTCCCTCTGTGGAGAAAGGAGGAAGAGGATATTATCCACTTATGCAAACTTCCTGGCTAATGCATGAATTTTCTTGTATCTCTTATCACCTTGCATAGCTCCGGGCAGTCAGGAACTGATGGAAAATGCTTTGGTGCTATGAATAAATGACCAATAAGCTGTGACAGTTCTAAGAGTCCTCAAGGCAGCAGGAAGAGGCAGAGACACACATTGTCTAGGCAAGAACTTCCTAAGAAAAGTTCATGATAACCAACAAGGGCCACTTTCATGGCAGCAAGCAGTCTATCCTCAGACATCACCATCGAGGGTGGGATCGGGCCCAGGCCCTGGCAGTAATTCTGACTGAGGTCCTGACCTCACTGGATGCTTCTCTGAGCATCCAGAGAGACTCATGGAGGCCTGGGGCTGGTGGTAAAGGCCTGTGGCACAACTTGCTTGAGGCTTTCCTAACCCCCTTAGGCTTCAAGAACCTCACTGAAAATTTAAATCACACAGGCTATCAATATCTGAGCTAAGGGACACCACCACTGCTTTGGTCAGTTATCAGGACTGCAGGAGCCAGGCACCCTGCCAACCCTCTCCCACCTTACTGGTGGGATCTCCTCAGTGCCTTGCTTTTGGAAATGAGTCCATTCCTGCCCCAGGATCTGGCCAGCAGATCTTGCTACTCTGCTTCTGGCCTACTTACAGCCTTTGTCCTCCTCAGCCACTCCTCTGCTCACCTAGCTCTCCTAGGTCTAGAGTCCCCAAGCTAGAGATTCTCTCAGAGGCACAACCGGGGTCCTATCTATAGGTCTGGGTCTCCAAGGGGCGAGGGAGGATTCTGGGCTCCTGTCCAGGCACCATAAGCACTGTTTGAGCTGAGCCTTTCTGAGATACGGTTCTGTTACATCTTCATTCTCTGGCACCCACTGTTTGATGGGACCTGGGATCTGGGGCCAGAGAAAACCAAGATCCAAACCTGGGTGGGAAACAGATATTTAACCAATCATAGCCTTTGGAAACTATGTGGGAACTGCTGAGAATTCCAGAGGATTCCAGTACTCATGTGTACAACTGAGGTCCAGCAAGGGCGACTGAGACATTTGGAGCAGGAAGCAGGGAGCCAGATGAGGAGGAACTGGGCTTGTGATGTTCTCATCATCTCCTAACTCTGCATTGGAGGGCCTTGTCAGCTTCTTTAAACTGTGCCTGTCTCGTATCCAGTCACCCAAACATTCATCCCACAGACATTTAAAGTGCACCTACCTAGCACCGGGCCCACCCATCTATGTAATCTATCTGTGCCTGGAGCAGCTGCTTGACTTGTGCACACTTATAGATGGGTGGATGGGATATGTGCATGGCTGGGCCTTCTCTGTCCTGCGAGCAGGCGTGGAATTCATGTGCTGGTATGTACAACGTGCTCAAGCCGAAGGGTGCCCTCTGCCCCCGTGCAGATCCCCATCGCCAATGAGACTCCACCTCCCCTCACTGCACAAGTCAAGACCCCCAGTCCTGGTACTCACCAGAATCTCATCCTGCAAAGAGGTAACCATAGCAACCACGAGAAGCATTGGGGAGAGAGGAGAGAGGATTACTGAGGCAGAGTGGGAAGCTTGTGGCTGGCAGATGACAGACAGGCTCTCTGGCCCCAGGGGACCCTTCCCCTTGAGAGGGAGGTTTCCTCAGAGCTCCAAGTTCATCCGGCACCCTCCATCCCTCAAACTGGAGCACTGGGGCCACTCACCTGGTTCCCTGAAGTCTTCTTCTTGTTCATCTGGTTGCTCCTCTGCTGAGCACTAGTGAGGGAGAGGGAGGAGTACAAAACTCTCAAGAGGCCCAGCTCATGGGGCACAGGACTTAGAGGGTTAAGCTGACACACTGGAATCTACATGCACATGTGCACACATATATGTACAGGCACCACACACAAGGGGCCGCCGCCCCACAGCCCTAGGAGCACTCACTTGGCAAAGCCTATGAAGTCTTCGTGATTGGTGTTCATGTAAGCCAGCTCAATATCGATGAGAAGCATGACCTTCAAGGATCCACAAGTCGGTGAGCACATAGAAAAGATGCCACAAAGTTTAAGAATGCCTGATAAGCTAGGAGAGAGACACTTTCAGCACATTTAGAAGGTTAGCACCCCGTAATAAGTGAAAAGGCCCTACAGTCAATACCTGAAAGACAAAAGATGCAGAGGTCAAAGAACACGGATGGTATTTCATAGAAGACATGCTAACAGCTGATAAGAATATGGAAAAACTGAAACCCATTATCATATGTAATTAATATATCCTAACAAAACCTTTTTAAAATCTTCAAAAAAGCTGGGTGGTGGTGGTGCACACCTTTAATCCCAGAACTCAGGAGGCAGAGGCAGGCAGATCTATAAGTTTGAGGCCAGCCTGGTCAACAGAGCAAATTCCAGGACAGCCAGGGCTACACAGAGACCCTGTCCCAAAAAAACAAAACAAAAATCTGCAAAATTTGCTCACCCTTGTTCGTAATGACCTCTTAGTTAACACAATAAGATCCTTAACCCTAACACATAATAAGAACTGATAGAGGGTCAGGATAGGCACATGCATAGGAAGATGGAACTGTACTTCTTTTCTGTTTTTACTTTGTAAAGATTTATTATTATTTATGTTGTGTGTAGGGAAGTTTTGCCTGCATTTGTGCATATGCACAATGTGCATGCAGTGCCCACAGTGGCCAGAAGAGGGCATCAGAGCCCCTTGAATAGAGTTACAGGTGGTTGTGAGCAGCCATGTGGGTGCTGGGAACTGAACCCCAGTCCCCTATAAGAGCATTTAGTGCTCTTCACTTCTGAGCCATCTCTCCAGCCCCAGAATTGCAAGGTGAGGATGAAATACAGTACCTACATAAATGAGGCAAGAGCTCCCACTGATACTAATTAGTGTCACTTTGTGGAGGACAATTTGGTAATTCTTAACATTAAAATGGACACACACCTTCCTACAATTATATCTCAGATAAACTCATCAAATAATCAAAGATGCAAATGCCAGAATGTCTAAAGCATGTAAAGTTTTCCCCTTTTGCTTGTTCTTTTTAATTTTCTTCTTCCTTCTCCTCTCCTCCTCCTTTATCCTCCTCTTCCTCTTCTTCTTCTCTGAGATAAGATTACTGATGTTTTCTGCCTAGGTTAAACTTGACCTCCTGTTCCTCATATCTCAGTCTTCCCAGTAGCAAGGGCAAAAGAAGGCCTGTGTCAACATTCTTGGCTGTGGTATAATTTGCAATGGAAGAAGACTGGGAACAAACTAATGGCCACTAGAAAATGAAATAGATTAGGGTAACCTGAGAATAAAAGACATTAGCGGTGCACACCTTTAGTCCCAGCACTTGGGAAGCAGAGGCAGGTGGATCTCTGTGAGTTCAAGGCCAGCATTTTCTACAGAGCAAGTTCCAGGACAGAAAGGGCTACACAGAGAAGCCCTGTTTCAGAAAAAAATGAAAACAAAAACAAAAACAAAAACAAAAAGACTCTTGATGTTCAAAAGCATAGACAAATTCTAGGCTGTGATGGGGAACACACACACACACACACACACACACACACACACACACACACACACACACTGCAGATCCTGAGGTGTGAAGGAATTTATTCTTGAGTCTTTCTGTTTTGTATATTGTGAGACAGGGTCTTATGTAGCTTATTCTGGCTTCAAACTCCTATGTAGCAGAAGATGGCTTTGAATGCCCAATCTTCCTGCTTCCACCTCCTGAAAGCTAGGATTCCAGGCAAGTGACACCATTTCTAGCCCCGAGTCTGCTCCTTCCTGTGAGCCTGGAGCCTGTCCTTCCTGAGGCCCATATTCTGCAAAGCAAGCATTTCTGCCCTCAAAGGACTGGTGAAAACAGTAAGATGAAGTGAGTCACTTGTCCAGCATGTCAAAGACAGTCAGGATATTAAGTGCAATTATTGTCAAGAAGAGAGAGAGAGAGAGAGAGAGAGAGAGAGAGAGAGAGAGAGAGAGGAATAAAAAGGCATGACAGTCAGCAAAAATATGATTCCTAGAGATAAAGGTGAAGCTGGGGGTGTGGCTCTTGTGACAGAATCCTTTCCTAGCATGGAAGAAGTCCTGGCTTCAATCTTGAATCTTGGACATGGTGACTTATTCCTATAATCTGAGTACTGGGGGAGGCAGAAGTTCATGTTTATTCTCTGCTGTGTAGTGAATTCAAAGCAGCCTAAGCTAGGAAAGGATTCTGTATAGTCCACAGAATACTATTCAAGTATTTAAAAGGGAATATTCTGGTAGATGCTACAGTATTTTGGATAAACCTTGAAGGCATTAGACTATGTGAAACAGCCAGATACCAAAGGATCGGAATACTGTATGATTTTACTTACCATGGGAACACAGATAAATTCATAGAGACAGAAAGAAAGGTGTCTGTCAGGCTGGAAGGGGACTGTTTATTACAAGCACAAAGTCAAGTTTTCAAAGATTCAAAGCCTTCTGTGGATGGTGGTGATGCTACCACGATGTTAAGGTACTCAAAATCACTGAGCCGTGCCCTTCAAAAATGGCTAAAGCAATCCACTTTGCATTAACTATCATCCCATAAGAAAACAGACAGAAAGGATCAGAAAAGCAGACGGAGACTGTAGACTCACCTGCTCCTTGGTGCGGCCCTCACGCTCCCGGATGTGAGTGGTCACAATACGCTCCATCTCCTCCCGAAGACGTGGGTATTGCTGGAGCTGGAGAAGGGCAGGAGGAGAGAAAGCCACGTACACACAGGGCCTGGGCATCAGACACCCAAACCCCACCTGAGTACAGGGACCCAGGGGTGTGGGGTGGGAGATATGCATGGGAATGCCAGCCAGGCCAAGAAGAGAGCCCAGGAGCCCCAGGAGGCTGATGGCACCAAGCCATGGCCATTCCTTTCACCCCCAAGTGTGGATTCTAAAGGCAATTTAAGGGTCTTCCTGGTTCCAGGACATCTTTACTGGCCCACCTAGGCAATTTCAGTGGGCAAGGGGCAGTCTCCATGGGGAGGACTACAGAAAGAGCTGGCTATGGTGGCCTCCACCTTGACAGTGGCCATCTTGAAGATCGACTTGGAAGATGGAAGCCTTTGTGCCATTCTTAGTTTCCAAGGCTTTCACAGACCCTCTGGGTGACCCCTTGCCTTCCTAGAGGCTTTGAGTGACATCCAGGTGAGGAATCAGGCAAGGAGCAGCCTCCAGAGACCGATCCAGGAGAGACTGGGGAGAGGAGGTCCATGGTGGCAGTCAGCCTCCTGAGTCAGGCTGGGGACAGGCAGTGGTCCCTATCAGAACTGGGGAGGGAAGGGTTGCAGGAGGAAAACAGCAGTCACACCAGAGGACATGCAGAAGCTCCCCAGCACAGACATGCAAGGACACAGGGGACATGCAGAGACAGTGTCAGCAGCATGAGCAGTACCCCGTGGGGGCCTGGCTGGGCCCTGGGACCACTTGGTATCACCAACCCAGTCCTGTCCCCCTTAGCATGTCTCTGTCTGCTACCATCATCTTAAGCTACATCTGCCTGGTCTGAGACTAAGCAGTAAGGCCTGCTGTACTCTGCCAAGGATGCCCCTGAACTCCTGGGAACCCTGCCCTCAGCCCAGACAGGTGCTGAACAAAGCCAAGGTGACTTATTCTGTTCTAACTTCTCTTAGATGCCACCTCTTCCTGAAAGCCTGCCCAGATTGAGGACTAAGAGCTGAGTCGGGGGCCTTCCTGTGCTACTTCAGCCTCTTTCATCCATCCAGGTAGTAATTGTTCCCCAGGGCTGGGCAGGGCTGGGCACCACCTGTGCATACAGAGAGCATGTTGGAGGAATGAGGAAATGAATGGAAGATGAATGTCTTTGCCCTCCTTGCAGGTAAGCAAACAGAGCCTTCTCCATCGGCTTGGAACCAAATCTTTTAGACAGGGCTTTTCAGCGAGCTCTGAAGGTGGAACCCACCCATCAAGACCATCTTTCCCCACAGGAAGCTTGGACAGTTCCTCGTCCCACTTTCCACCCTGCGCTTAGTCAAGATGCTTACTTAGGCAGATCCTGTTGGAAGACATCCATGCCCTCTGTGCCTGATTCTGAGGGCAATATGAAGGCCAAGAGGGATGGTCAGGGTGGACAGGAGGACGAGGGAAGAGAGAGGAGCTCAGGATACCAACCCAGGAAAGGCTGACTTGGGAGAAGTCCGAGTCCAACCTTCCCTTGGCTGTGCCAAGGGTAAGTTCTGGCAGCCGAGCACAAGGGGCTGAGAACTTGGGGGAGGATCAGCCTGAGACCTGGAACTTAGAAATGCTGGCTGGAGGGGCCTGCTGCCCTGTGTGGCTCTTTGTATGTAGCCTCTGAGCCCGGGCAGAGATTTAGGGTTGAGGCACAATCCTAATGTCACCAGGCCTTTGAGGTGGTTGGATCGAGGCAGCTTCCCATGGCAGGGGTGGGGTGGGACTGGGAAGGGTGGAGGAATTTGCCAAAAGGATGGCCAACTCCCTGCTAAGCGCCTGTATCTACATTTCTCAAGTTTTCCACATGTCCTGCACAGTCAGGGCGGGTGGCCTCAGCCCCCTCAAGAAGTTCTGTTCCTTCCAACATCTTTTTCCATTCTGGCTGTCTCAGAACTCTGCCAGGATTTTTAACCAGTTTCAGTAGCCAGCCTGGATCCCATTGGTTTGGGGGTCAGGGATGAAGCTCCTGAAGCCATGAAGCCTTGGTTTAAAGCCCAGCCCTGCCTGCTGACCGCCAAGCTCTCCTTCAAGCGTCAAGCATGGTGGGCTTCCCTTCTTATCCTATGCCTAACATTAAACTCCCAGCTGTGTCCAGAGATGAAAAAAAAAAAAATCTAACCCCAGCCGGGCTAGGAGAAACACCAAACTTCTGTCAGGGGTTGCTTAGAAAACACAGGCATTAAAACAAAAAACCCACAAAGCTGGGTGGCGGTGGTGGTGCACGCCTTTAATTCCAGCACCTGAGAGGCAGAGGCATGTGGATCTCCGTGAATTCGAAGCCAGCCTGACAACACACACAGAAACTGTCTCAAAACAAACAAACAAACAAACAAACAACAAAAATAAAGAAGAAAGAAAGGAAAGGAAAGGAAAGGGAGGGGAGGGGAGGGAAGGGAAGGGAGGGAAGGGAAAGGGAGGGGAGGGGACAGAAGGGAAGGGAGGGGAGGGGAGGGACTGCTGAAGTTAAATGGCAAAAGTATGGCTCTCCCCTAAGCTCAATGCTCTCTTCGAAGCAAGCTCCCTGATCACAGGAACTGGCTCAATAACCACAAAAGTCTTAATGTGAACTAGAAACCGTTCCACGTCCCGTTCTCTCTTTCAAAACAGTGGTTAGCCTTGGGTAAATATGACCGGAGTTTTAGTGTTCAATGCTTTCTAATTTCCCCTCAAAATGCTACATACATGCTTTTCTGCAACGTTTCCACACTCCCTTCACACCAGGGGGACATGTGGACAGAAGCACACAGCCTGCCTTGCCTCTTTTCTTCTGAGACAAGGTCTCGTGCCGCCCAGGCTGGCTTCTTCCTATGAAGCAGAGGATGACCTTGACCTCATGATCCTCCTGCCTCTACTCCAGAGTGCTGGGATTGCAGGCATGGACAGCCACACCCACCCGCCCTTTCAACTCTTGCTGTTTTCCACTGTAACTGTGTAACTTTACGATTGATTGCCTCTGGATGGGCATATGGATTGCTTTCAAAGTTTTATCATTTACAATTACCACTCCCCTTAGGGATGCAGCTCAGCAAAGCATCCTACAGCTTTGGAGCATTTGTATCTAGCTATCTGTCTTCTAGCAATCTAATCCTAAGGAGACCATCCAAGAGAAAGAAGCATACGGCGATCACTGCCAGGCTATTTCTTTGTACACATGCCCCTGTACCTGTGCATGTTCTTGTGACAGCAGAGGTCAAGGCTGGGTGCCTATACTGGAAACGGAATCTCTAACTAAACCTGGAGCTACAATTTGGCTTGTGGGCTGGGAGGCTCGGGTATCTGCCAGTCTCCTTTCCAGCCCCAGAACCACAGGCCTATTGCTGCATATGACTTTCCACGTGGGCCCTGGGGATCTGAACCCAGGCCTTCCTGCATGTATGGCAAACACTTTACCAACTGAACCAACTCCACAACCCCTGTTTCTTTATTATATTTAAAAATAGAGATTAAATGTTCAACAATGGGAAAATGGTTAGGCAAATTCATTTAATGGCCGCCTGTGTCACCATTAAAAATGTTTTTATAGAGCCAGGAGGTAGGCCTGGTCTACAGAGTGAGTTCCAGGACAGCCAGGGATACACAAAGAAATCCTGTCTCAGAAAAAAAAAAAAAAATGTTTATATAGGCTATGTAACAATTCCACCCAGAGTGTGTAATGAGAAAAGCAATCTATGGGTCCAGTATCAGCACGTTTAAAGTAAACAAGCCAAATATGCTTCAGAAAGAGGAGTTTTTGAAATTGGTTATCTAACTATTGATAATGTGTGTATGGCACACATGCGCAGTGAGTACTCTGCCCACTGAGCCCTCTGGCCAGCCTATTCATATGGGAGTTTTTAAGGTGGATGTGGATAAATATGGACTTTTAAAGGTGGATATGGTGACTCGTGCCTTTATTCCTAGAGCTCAGGAGGCTGAGACAGGAGGATTGCCATGGAGTCTAGGTCAGCCAGGACCAGAGAGTGAGGCTACATCTCACAGAGAGGGGAGAGGGCAAAATGGGGGAAAGGGAAGGACAGAAAGGAGGGGAGGAGAGAAGAGAACAAAACAACAACAACCCCCCCAAAAAACAATAAGTGCTATCAGTAGGATTGCGGGTACACAGAGCTGCAACCTTTCCGCCATGGATTGAGCCCGAGAGACATGGCCTGGACACACAGCGACTCCACAGCACAGGGCCCAGAGAAAAGAATTGGGTAATGCTTACTAGAAACCCGTAGTTAAGGCAGATGTGTGTTCCACACATACTCTTCAGTTCAAGGAACCTTTCAGATCCACAAAAGGTTCAACTCACTCTTGAGCCTGGTTCAGCTCACTGCTGGGGGCAGGGACAGCATGGGAATTCTGGTAAAGCTCCCACCGCCAATGGGAGCTGAAAGCAAGCACTATTTTGGACAACCTGCCTAAATACCTCCAAGATAGTCAAAAGTGGACAGATAAGAAAAGGGCATTGAAGCCGGGCATTGGTGGCTCACGCCTCCAATCCCAGCACTTGGGAGGCAGAGACAGGTGGATCTCTGTGAGTCTGAGGCCAGCCTGGTCTACAGAATGAGTTCCAGGATAGACTCCTGGAACTCAAAAACAAACAAACAAACAAAAAGGCATTGAAAAGGTTACAGACAACTCAAAAGAGGCTCCTGTGTCTGACTCATACGGACTGCTGTCACTGAGCACGCTTTAGGGCAGATTGGCTTTCGAGGTCCTGGAATGGCTCTTCTATCCCCAGAGGCCCTGACCCCTCTGCTTTTCCTGAGACCAATATGGTCATCTGTAAACAAGAATAATGATGCTATCCTCTTCTTGGAGTTGTTGAGAGAACTAAGTCAGACAGTAAGGGCCAGCTCTCAGCCCCCTGAAGCACAGAGTAGCTGTTCAAGAAGCAGCCACCATCACCTGTCATTACTATGGTTGTCACTGTGCAATCATCCTTACCCATGGAAAGGAGAAACGTGGGATGGGGTGCCCTTCTGGCAGGGACAAGGGTCTGATAGGATCCTGAGTGAAAGTGGTTCAGTTATAAAATGGCAGGAAGTCTCAGGCCAGGGATTGCCTGGCCTGAATGTGTGCCTGGGTCCCAGTGGGGAGCCAAGAGGCCATCTCATCTGCTAGGCAGATGGTTATGCCCCTGGGAAGCCATAGCCACCAGGAAGGGGTGACGGCCGGGCCCAGCCCCTCCCAGGCGGCCGCCATACCTTTTCGCTACACTTTCTGATGGTGGACGTGAGTTCACTGACTACCATGTCCACACACTTGATACTGGGCTCTTTAAGCTTCTGCACCTGCTTTTTCACTGTGGCTTCAAAAGCGAGGTCAGGTGTGAAGAGGCCCGTCCTGCACCCGAGTAGGAGGAGGAGGAGAAGCCAGGGAGGGCACAGGGAAAGAGGAAGGGAGTGAAAGCCAAGTGGCCGGGCTCGAGGGTGGGTGAGGATGGCACAGGCATGGGGGAAAGAGAGAGACACCAACAAAGAGAGAGAACAGAAGACAACATGAGCGTGGGACCCAGCCCCACCCCTCCCAGGGCGGCACCTGCCAGGTGCTGCCAAGCACCCCCTCCCTTAGGGCTCTGGGGTTATGGCCAGAGATGTCTGGGACCAAACCCCTGTTCTGAGAGAGCCTTCCCCAGTTCAGATGTGCCGCAGGGATGCCCCCTAGAAATCACACTCAGCAGCACCGGGCCTGCCTCTCTTCTCGGGGACCACTTTTGTCTATGCCCTTGGGTCCTCCTAAGGGCACGACCCAGACTAGGACCAAGCCACACATCCTGTCCAGATCTAGGCTTTTGCGTGCCCCTTTTTGCTTCAGCCTGACTCAAAAGCCCAGCCCCATCACTAGCTCCGCTAGGCTGTGCTGCGTGTTACTGCCCAGGCGATGCTCTCTATGCTTGCACAGTGTATTGCAGACAAGCCTCCTGGAGCTTCCGTGCAGCAGCATGGCCCTCCTTGCCTACCCCTGTTCCTTCTCCCTCCTCAAGGGGCATCCCTCTTGCTCCTAACAGGTGTGTGAGAACTTGGAAAGACAACAGAAAGCGAGGAGGGGTGGTGACTGAGAGAGGCCGAAGCAGCAGTGGGGGGAAGGGGGCCTGCGGTGGAATCGATGAGCACTGGACTTGGAGTCCGCAGCCTCGGCTTCCAGTAACAGCTCTTAGGAGATAGATGCTGGGTAGATTACTCGGTGTCCTGAGCTCAGTTCCCTGCTGTGGGGAATGAACTCCACCCTGCCTTCCTGGGCAATTCTGTGAGGCTGGCTACCTGTCCCTGAATGTGGAAGGAAGGGATGAAGTGCCTGAGTGACAGTCCCCAAAGAAGAGTGGAAGGATGGAAAGATGAAAGACAACAGGGAAGCACGGCACCTGCCAGTCCTGGGCCCTCTGCACTGTTCTGGCTGCCCAGGTCCCGAAAAGCACCCAAGAAGGTCCTGTCCCTCACATGTCCCCAGGCCGAGGCTTCCCCAAGGCCCTCTAGGGCTCCGGAAGGTCACCCCACTTCCTTGTGCAAGGCGGAGACCAGGGTTCCCTCAAACACCATTGTTTCTAGGCCAAGGGAGATCTCTTAGTGTCCAACTGTTTGATTGTCCAGGCCGGGGATCAGGGTGTGGGTGAGCTCCCTCAGAGGCTTCCCCTGTGCAGGTCCATCGTGACCACTTTGCCTTCCCACCCCTCTGAGGCCTGTGCATGCTACCGAGGAGGCAGTGGAGATGTGGGGAGGAGCGCCTGGCTGAGCAGTGCAAGGAGGGACAAAGGTGAGGCTGATGGGGGCTGACCAAGGGCTGCCTGTTACCTTCTTGGTGCACTGTCTAACCGTGCTGATTAGTTCTGAGATAACCATGTCCACACACTTGAGACACGGTTCTCGAATCTTCTTCACCTGCTTTTTCACAATGGTTTCAAAGGCCATGTCTGGGGTAAACAGCCCCGTTCTGAACGCCCGGAGCAGGAGAAGGGCACAGTGTCACAGGCTGGCACTTGCCAGGAGTGCCAGGCCAGGGTCCCTCTCCAGCCCCTTAGCTGTGCCTGGGGGAGAAGTCTTCCCGCTACCCCCCCTCCAGCCTCAGTGTTCCCATCTAGTGGGGGGGGAGTCCTAAGGAGAGACGTCCATCAATGATCCCTGGCCCAGACAGCTCTGTCTCTTCGGAGGCCCCTTTGCTTCATCTTAAGTGTTTCTGTGAAAGGGTCTATCGCTCCAAACTATTTGGAAATTACTAAACTGAGGCCTCCTTAAGAGCCTGTGTTGGCCAGATTTCATGCCCAGACACAGCACGGAGCAGGCAGGAGCGCAGGGTGCTTCTGTCTTGTTCACAGAGGTGCCACGTGGGCACGGGGCCATGCAGGATCTGCATCCCTGAGGGGTGTCTAAGGGTCTATCTTAGGAGGGATGTGGGTAGAATGGGTGAGGTTGGGCTATGGGAGACTGGGAACATCGAGCACACTGGAAACCACCTCACAAAAGGATTTAGAACAATATCTGGGTGCTATGCCCCAGGCCCTACCCAGTGATCCTACCCTTTCTTCAGCTACCTAGGTGATACTAGGCAGAGTTGTCACACTCCATAGAGTGCTTCCCTGGCCACTGTGCCCTGTGCTTCCAGGCCATACTCCCAGGGACAGCCAAGGAGGCCAGGGGGTTGTAGGCTGTGGGTATCCCAGGCTTCCCGGCCACCTCCCTTAGCTGGCGCCTGTTGAGCTGGGAGCCAGAAGGTTGGAGCTAAAGGATTGAAGGTCAGGACCCTCAGGTCCCTCGTGAAGGAGTCTCCTTCAAGCCCGGTGCCCCTTGCCTAACCGGGTGCAGACCCCACTCTGGTTCCCAGTACATGCCTGATGCCATGAATGTTCTTGATGGCATAGCTGATCTCCCTTCGGAGTTCCTTCTCATCAAACTCCATCTGTGGTGGACAGACAGAAGACTGGTCAGGGCCAGCCCTGCCACAGGAGGTAGATAGGGCCCACCCTCCTGCCTGGGACCGCAGTGCCCTACCTTAACCAGCTCAAAGGGAAAGCGTTCATGGAAGATCCGGTTAATGCGTGCTCCACCTGACAGTTCATAAGTGTCGATCTGGTCTCCAGAACCTTCAATGCGCTTCTCGAAGTCCACTGCAAACTGCTGGACCATCCTGTGTGGGAGAGGGGCGTGGCCTGAGGAGGCGAAGGAGGGAGCCCTGGGCCCTGGAGTGTGGGAGGGGCTGGAGCAGTCCAGCCCTGGACACTGGGGCCAGAAGCCTTACTGCAGCAAGGCCTTGGTCTTTCGAGCCGGGTCATCCGGTCGGAAGTTCTTGTACTCTTCCACCTCCTTCTCAATGGACAGCAGCTGGCTCTGCAGTTTGTTTCGAAGCCCCGGCAGTGTGTCCCGGATGTGATTGGTCAGTTGCTGGGTGTGGTGGGTAAGGAAAAGGTTAAAGCCAAGCTCACAGCCCTAGATGCCCACAGGGCCTAGCAACAGTAGTGGTTCCCAAACTTCCTGGTGCCCTGACCCTCTAATACAGGTTCTCCCGTGATGACCCCCAATCGTAACATTATTTTCGTTGCTACTTCATAACTGTATTTTTTAAATGCTATTTACTCATATTCTATGTACACCTACATGCCAGAAGAGGGCATCAGATCCTATTATAGACGGTCATGAGGGGTGCTGGGAATTGAACTCAGGACCTCTGAAAGGGCAGTCAGTGCTCTTAACCTCTGAGCCATCTCTCCAGACCCTGGGTCAGCCTCTTTGGAGTATGCCAAAAGGGCCAAGACGTCCAGCTGAATACATTTCGGTCCCCACTAGTCAGTGCCACTATCCACACAATCTTGGTCTTCTATACACGCTTGGAGTCCCAGGGCTCCCCTTCTAGGCCCCAGACAGGAAAAGTCAGCAGAATTCTTGTCACTAACTTCCTGTGGGACTGAGACAAGTGGCTTCCTTTCTCTGGGTCTCAGTTTGTCTTGCATCAGTGGATGCTAGTCAGCATTGGTCACCCTTAATAAGACGCACTGGGACAACAGGCTGGAGAGATGGCTCAGCAGCCAAGTGCATCCACATGACAGCTCACAGCCATCTGTAACTCCAGTTCCAGGGGATCTGATGCTCTCTTCTAACTTCCCCAACCTCCAGACACACACTTGGCACACAAACAAAACACCCACACATATAAAATAAAATACAACTTACACACACACACACACACACACACAGGAAAATTTGCACTTGAGATTGTTCTCATCTCCCTGGGCCCTGGCCAGGCTTCCCTACCTGATTCAGGACCTTTTGCAGGTAGGGTGTGCCCATGCGGTCGGCCAAGTGGCGGTAAGATGGGTGAGAGAGGAAGAATTTGCGTTCAGCAGCCAAGGCAGCTGTGATGTCCTTCTTGCCATCTATGTCCTTCTGGCTGCGGTTCACCACGCCAATGTAGCCTGTGGGACAGGCCAAGGTCAGAGGCAGGCAGCTCCCGGGAGGTGGATGAGGGAAGGGCTGAGCAGTGTCTGCCTACCTCTACGCAGAGGGAGCAGCTTATTTTCCAGCACATCCCGAGCATCTGTGCCCTCATCCATCAGGTCCAACTTGGTGATGACCCCAATGGTGCGTTGACCTGGGAAGTGACCATAGGAGGACTGTCACTCCTGCCCCAGCCCCCACTAGGAAGACTTCATGCCTTCCCAAACTGTCTCACCCTCTGTCTGCTCTCTTGCCCATTTAGCCCCCCTTTCATGATCCAAAGTGGCCAAAATGATTTTTTTTTTTGTTGATGCAGTTTCTCTTTTTTACTTATTTATTTTTATGTGTATGTGAGTTTTACCTACATATATGTTTGTGTACCATGTGTGTGCCTGGTGCCTGCAGAGGCCAGAAGAGGTGTCATAGCCTTTGGAATTGGAATTACAGATGGTTGTGAGCTGCCATGTGGGTGCTGGAAACTGAACTGGGGACCTCAGGAAAAGCAGACAGTGCTCTTAACCACTGAGCCATCTCTGCAGCCCCGTGATGATGCCATTTCTTTGAGAGAGGATCTGGCTATGAAACTCAAGCTGGCTTCAAACTTGATATATGAGGAGGAGCCCAGTTCAGTTCCCAGCACACACAAGGCAGTTCACAACTTTCCATAACAGTTTCAGGAGAGCTAATGCCCTCTTCTGGCCTCTGTGGGTACTGCATGCAGGTGATGCACAGACATCATGCCAGCAAAACATGCATACTAATAAAATAATTTTAAAATTTAATGTAGCCAGCAGTGGTGGCACAAGCCTTTAATCTCAGCACTCCATTCAAGTGGTAAGGGCAGGCAGATCTCTGTGAGTTCAAAACCAGCCTGGTCTATAGAGCTAGTTCTAGGACAGGACAACCAACACTACACAAAGAAACCCTGTCTTGAAAAACAAATAAACAAACAAACAAACAAACTTTTTTTTTTATCTATATAGTTTGGCCCTGCCTGAACTCATAACCATTGACCATTGTGCCTCCACCTCTGGAGAGATGGGAGCCCATTGTGCTCTGCCACACTGAGTGCCAAAGTCATGTTTTAGTTTTTATTTGGTTGTTTTTTTTTTTTTTTTTTTTTTTTTGAGACAGGGTTTCTCTGTATAGCCCTGGTTCTTCTGCAACTTGTCTGTAGACCAGGCTGGCCTTGAACTCAGAGATCGACCTGCCTCTGCCTCCTGAGTGCTGGGATCGAAGGTGTGTGCCACCACTGCCTGTGCAAAATGATGTTTTAACTACCCCATGCTAGGTAAGAACCTTAGCACTGGCCTACATCCCCAACCCTGCAGTTTCTATGGGATGGGGCTTTTAAAATTCACTTGTGTTTATTTACTTGTGTGTGTGTGTGTGTGTGTGTGTGTGTGTGTGTGGGTGGGTGGGTGGGTGGGTGTGCCCATGCCACCACAAACATGTAGAGGTCAGAAGACAATTTGCAGGAGTCAGTTCTCCCCTCCTCCACATGGGCTCCTGTTTTCCCACTGGGCCCTTTTAGCTTTTTGAGACTGGATCTCATGTAACTCAAACTGGTCCTGTAGCTAGTGCTGGCCTCTATTCCTGAGCCTTCTACTTGCTGGGCCTGAGGGGAGACTCCACTGCAGTTGAATTGAGTCTAAAGGTTAAATCTGATCCCGACACTATTCTACTTAGACCCTTCAGATATACTCCTAAACTAAAACCATATTACTGTCGAGCAATCAGCTGGCATTGGACATCAACTTCCAGATAGGAACCTACCCTGGGGGTCCACCTCCTTGGCGATCTTGAGGGCATCGGAGTTGGCCAGGTCCGAGTTGGCAGGGGACACAGCCAGAATAAGGCAGTTCTCCTTAGTGACGAACTGCATAAGCATGTCCCGGATCTGGAACTCGATATCAGGAGGTTGGTCCCCCACTGGGACCTTGGTCATTCCAGGCAGGTCCACTAGAGTCAGGTTCAGCACTGGACAGAGAGGTAAAAAGGGCGGGCCCACGGTGGGGTCGTGTCAGGTGGGCGTAGTTAAACCACAGGGTCGGGCTTGAAAAGTAACTATGGTGAGCAGGGTCAGAAGTGGGAGGGGTTAAGCCGATGAGGCTTGAGGTAAGTGAACTTAGAGGACCCGTTCCCCATCTCCCAGGGCAGGCAACAAGTATGAGAACTGTGGGGCTCAGGAAATTGATCAGGGGGCGTGGCTAGGCAAAGAAGCCAGAGGGAGGGGCCGGGGCCTGGTCTCCTCACCGTGGGGCGAGTAGACTCGCAGGTTGATGGGCACCGGCGAAATGCCCTTGTTGGTGCCGGTAACCCGGTCGGTCTCAGCCTCGATCTCCAGACGCACTTCCTCAAAGTCAGTGAATTTCTTTCCTTTGCAATGCAGGAACTCGGCATATTCTGCTCCAGAAACCGGCCAGGGAAGGAGAGGAGAAATCAGACTTGGGAAGGCCACCTGGGTGGCATCATTCTTCCTTAATCTACCCTTTACTTCCAAATACAGCGATCCTTGCCTCCATCTTACAGGGCGTGGTTTTTTTTTTTTTTTTTTTAGATACTTAATTTAATGTACATTGGTGTTTTGTCTGCATTCATGTCTGCATGAGGGTGTTGGATCCCATGGAATTGTAGTTATAAACAGCTGTGAGCTGCCATGTGGGTGCTGGGAATTGAACCTGGGTCCTCTGGAAGAGCAGCCAGTGCTCTCAATTGCTGAGTCATCTGTCTAGTGCCCCCATTTTACAGTTTTATACTCATTGTCTAGATTGGGATCCCGAGGCCCAAGAAGGGGAGGATTATCTTATCTAAAGTCAGTAGCTAGGCTGGACTTCACCTTAGGGAGGGGCCACACCTGACTGATAATGGAGGACACCCACCTGTGGTAGAATTAACCAGTTGCAGAACTAGGGGACGACGGGTGACGATGCCAGATCCTCGGGGCAAGAAGTCTCTGCAATGAGTTGGGGGTTAGAAGAGGGTCAAGGTTTGAGAGCAGCTGCCTTCCCCCAGGAGACTGCCCTGCTATTAGGAGACACAAAGGGCAGGCCCTGTAGCGTCCTGCTGACAGCATTAAGTCACTAAAAGGAGTGGGCTCCCCCAAGCCACTGCTTCAAGTTGCCAAGAGGCTAGACCAGCAACTCCCCAGATGCCCCTCAAATATACCATGTTGGATCTGAGCCAATGGGAAGTCTCAGCCACAGGGAAGAACTGAACCTGGACCCAGAGTAGCCCAGGTGACCAGTAACCAGCCGGTCTCAGCAAAACCAGCTCAGAGCCACCCTCTCCTCCCTACCCCTCTGGAGAAGGCAGTGGCTCAGTTCCTCTTCTCCAGGCCCCAACTGGCTAGAGTCGAAGACAAGGCAGATGTAGACTGGAGGAGGCAAGGAACAGAACTCGGGCTTCTTTGGTGCCTGTTGCACGCCAGCTGCTTTGTGGGCAGAAGCTCATGAGCTCTAGAAAATGGCCCTGGGAGGAGGATGCAGTTACTGTCCCCACTTTACGAATTGGGTAACGGCCTCAGAGATGTTCTGGTGTCATGATACAGCAGAGGAGACCCTGGGCTCAATTCTGTGGACGCTCTCCATCTCCAGACCCCATGGACTCAGCCCCCTTTGAAAGACCACACAGAAGAGCCCCAAATTGTCATCCGTGTCCTGAGACCTGACCATCTACGCCCAACATCTGCTCCTGTTGATGCCAACTTCAGCTGTCCTTCTGGCTGACTCTGTCGGTCAGCCATTTTCGATTTCCCCACCCATGACTCTTCCACAGGCTGGCTGGAGGGTGGAGTTCTCTCCAGGAACCAGGCCATCAGAAGTAGCAGTCATGGGATCCCTGGAACCCAGGAAATGGGAAGCAAATCAAAACCTGGGGGGCCTTTCTCATCCAGCCAGTCATCCCACGGAAGAGACCCAGCCCAGTGCCGACCCAGGCTCACAGGCAAAGGGTCAGGGGGAACAAATAGGCCCAGGGGCTTCATGTCCAAGCCCCCTCTTGGGGCCCTCTCCTGTACCACCTCTAGAAAAGGAGAGGCTGCCCAGGTCAGTGGCCTGGGGAAGGAGGGGGAAACTTGGCATGCATTAATCCTTTCTAGGTAGCAGGCAAACGTGCTTCCTTCCCACCATGTAATCTGCAGAAAGACAGGGCTGGTACCTCCTGCCCACCACTGTATACTGTGCCCAGCCCAGGGCTCATACTCATGAGGTGCTCAATGCATTCTGAGAGAATCCCTAAGTCATCAAAGAGACTCTCAAAGAGATTCTCATTTTATAGATGAAGCAACTGAGGCTCAGAGAGGGGAAGTGACTCACTCAAGGTTACAGAGCAGAACTGTGTTTCACATGAGCTTTGTTTTAGTCATTTGGGTTTTATTGTTGTCCCTTTTTGTCAGTGCTGGACTTCCAAACCAGATCCTCAGACATGCTAGGCCAGAACTCCATTACTGAGCTATACACTTCAGTCCAGGTCTCAAACTCAAACCCAAGTGTATGTTGAACCCCAGAGGCTAGAAACATCCCCATCCCACTGTGCCGCCCCCTAAGCCCAAGGAGCCAGACTTAGCTCTTTATATAATTGAATTGACTGATCTGTACCAGGCTCTGTGCTGGGCCGTGGGGACGAGAGATGAGTCACCCAGCTCCCCACCCGAAGTGCTCACAGTGCGGTGGAGACGACAAGTAAACAGATCATACATCGTGCCTCTTGTAGGACAGAGCTGGCCAGGCAGGCCAGGGAGGGAGAGAGTCCTGGGCCTAGGGGACTTCCTGCCTCATCGCTCCAGTCTTCACTCAGTGACTCCTTGGGGGAGGTCACCCATCTGTTTGGAGGTCCCCAGGATTGTGGAGGTAGCACACTTGTTTTGGCAGGCTTTGGTGGGTGTAGGGGCCTCCAGTCCACCCTCTTCCTCACCAGCTGCTTGCCAAACAAAACCATGGCAACAGCAGTTGCTGTGGAAACTGCAGGAGGGGCTGGAAGGATGGGACTCCCCATAGAGAGCCCTCCCCATGCAGAGATGTGGGCCTTCCCTGTAGTTATTCCTTGAGAGGCCTCCCTGTGAGCATATGTGCCCACCTAGCCGTGTATGCCTGAGGGTGGAGGGCTCTGGAGAGCCACAAAGAGTGTGGGAATCCATGGGCTATCTGAGGAGGTTGATGGCAACATAGGGTCTGACCCAACTTACTGACACCTCAGAGCTGAAGCGTATAAGCAACAGAAGTCAAGACCAAGTTCTCACAGAGCCAGGCTCTCTGTGTGAGGCCCACTCAGCCCATGTCAGAATCCATGGGGCCACTTATTAAATGAGCTGATTCCAGGCAATGGTGGAGCATGCCTTTAAACCCAGCAAGTGGGAGAGGCAGAGGCAGGGGTATCTCTGATTTTGAGGCAGCCTGGTCTACACAGAGAAACCCTGTCTCATCTCATATATATATATATATATATGTACACGTACACACACACACACACACACACACACACACACACTCACACATTATATTGCTGGTTCCTCAGTATGCTGGGTTCAAATCTCCAAGGATAGGCCACTAATCGACAAGCCCCTGTGTGACCGTCATGTTTTCTTTCACTATGGCCTGCTATCTGAGTGGTTAAGAGACAGTGCCAGGTAGAGCCCTGGGTTCAGATCCCACTCCTGGTGCCCTTGGATTCACTCCTCCACTTGCAGTCTGTACATGCTAATCTGTGAAGGGTCGGCACACGCCGTTAAAGGGTTTGTGGGGCCTCTCCGCAGAAAAACTGAATCCATGCCCAAGACGTGGAGACCACAGGGTTTACCAAGAAGGGCCCCTCATTTTTAGCCTCCTCTAGGAGGACTCCCAAATCCTAGCAAGAGTTCTGAAACTCCACAGAAACCTCCGCTTCACCTCCTCTGGCTACTGAATCCTAACCGTGACGCCAGTCCAAAGATGCAAAGGATGGAGAGTGGCAGAACGAGACAGGACCTGGGTGCCTCACACTTTGGACACAGAGGACAGGACCAGTAAGTAGATGCTCACATGCAGACACAGAACCTGACAAGAGTAGGTGCTCCAGAGACACTAGAAGGCATGGCTCTCTCCTGCTACTGGGCACATTGTCAGCATCTTTGACCCAGCCTCCCATCAGGGCCACCCTTGCACCTTCTGTTTCGGCCTAGGGACAGCAGAGCAGGTGTCTAAGGAAAGTGTACAGGCTCTGCAGCACCAGAGGCCAGTGTTGAGCCCAACATGGGAGGGCAGCTGGTGGCCTGCCAGCTCTCCCACTCATTTTGAGCAGATGGTGGTTTTGCAGGGAGGCCTTGCCTTGCCATCTGCAGAGACACCTTCAAACCTGAAGAACAGAAGGGACAAAACAGACGCCTCTTAAGACCTCCAGCACCACCCACTTCCTAACTAAAATGACACTGTCATCCCTTCCCTGGAGAGTCTAGAAACACCACACCAATGTGCCAAGGTGACTCCCCAACTCCTATTCCAGAACCTGAGGCATGGGGCCAGAGTGCCCTGATTTCCAGACCCTGCTTGGGTGCAAATGATGACAAGAAGTAATATGTCTGGCTTGACAAGTCTTGGGCTCTGATAGCAGACAGGCATGGCACTTCCAGAGCTCCTGCTTTGGAGCTGTGGACCATCCCTCTTGCTGCTGTTTCCTGACTGTGCAATGGATGGCTCTGGGGTTTCTGCAGTTAAGGGATGGACAAGCCACAAGCTCTTAAGGTCCATGAATGATCTGGTGGGGAGAGGGGAAAGGTGGGTTTCCAGCCTAGCCAGACGAGTAAGGATGGCTTGGGAGAGCAAGAGGGGTTCAAGGACAAATGCAGCTCCTGAAAGTGGCAGGTAGGGCTGGTCATGCTCCGAGGTGGCCTCCAAAGCATCCACTTGGAATGATGGACAGAGATTTTGTCAGCCAAGAAACACATCGGGAGTAGATGAAAATGCCACAGGCAACAAGTCCTTCTCTGTTCCTGGGGCCCCAGGAGACCCAGGAGGCCTGAGGCAGTCCACATGTTGCAGTGTGTAAATATCAAGCTGATGTTTGCACATTTCAGGGAAGTCTAGCCATGGACTCCCTTCAGGTGTTAATGGTCCCCGAGCAGGGACTGGGTGGGACCTGCCTCCATATCCCAGTACCGGGGCTGAGTGGGCAAGGGGCAGGCTCTCCCCACTTACAGCTCACTGAACAGCAGGGGACACCGAAATCACAAAAAGAACGCTGTTGTCCAAGGCCATGGTGCAAGCTGGTGGTGGGGCGGGGCGGGGCGGGGCCTACACAGCAATGTCCTCTCTATCTAGTCCCCCTCCCACTCCTTTCCTTTTTCTTTCCACCCATGCTTCTTCCCTCCCTCCCTCCCTTCTTCCATGTCTTCCCTCTTGTGTTGATTTTATTTTATTTTATTTATTTATTTATTTTTTTTTGGTTCTTTGAAACAGGGTTTCTTTGCATTGTTTTGGAGCCTGTTCTGGAACTCACTATGTAGATCGGGCTGGTCTTGAACTCAGAGATCTGCCTGCCTCTGCCTCCGAGTGCTGGGACTAAAGGCATGTGCCACCATTACCCGGCTCTTGTGTTGATTTTTAACATTAGGAAATTATGTTTTTGTTGTTGTTTTGGTTTTTTAAGACAGGGTTTCTCTTTGTGTAGCTTGGGCTGTCCTGGAATTCACTTTGTTGACCACGCTGGCCTTGAATTCAGAGATCCGCTTAGCTCTGCCTCTGAGTGCTGGGATTGAAGATGTGTGCTACCACCACCCAGTGGAAGTTATATTTTCAAAATGGAAATAGTTCCTTTTGGGGGGCTGGAGAGATGGCTCAGTAGTTAAGAGCACTGGCTGTTCTTCCAGAGGATTTGGGTTCAATTCCTAGCATCCACATGGTAGCTCACAACCATCTGCAACTCCAGTTCTAGGGAATGCGACACTCTCTGGGAGGCAGAGGGAGGTGGATCTCTGTGAATTTG